TCTTAATTGGCAATGGTGATAAAAATGAGTAGACCAGTATGTGTAAGTGCTGTTTGTTTGCGCCTAAAGAGCTCAACATACTTCACGTATGTTGTATAAAACTTTTCTTTCACACTGTAAGCTGGACAAATTTGGGAAACTCATGAGGTAGAATAAAGCATGGAGATTATCTGCTTAATCACACCCACATGTATTAATAATAATAGTAACAACTATCATTTTTGTGATGATTATTTTTCCAGGCACTTTGCTAAGTGTTTTCCACACAGAATTTCACTTGATCTACAACAAAACAACCTCAAGAGGTAGGTACCAATGCCCCACTTTCTTTGAAACCTGCTATTTACCTGCATTCCTGAAAACCTCATGCCCCTCCCAGATAAACGGTCATGGATTTGGAAGTTTTTGTAACCACTGCCTCTCTTATTGCCCCTTTATGCAATCTCCTAATCTTCCTCTCTTGCAGTTAATGACTGGAATGACCATCACAATCTTAGAAATATGCCCCACAGTGATTATGAATCTCCAAAAAAGTATCCCTTCTTCATTAAGTGGAACTGAAGATAAAAGCAGCTCAAGGCTTGAGGGGAACTTTTTCTAACAGCCTGGGAATGACCCCCTCTACTTTGACCTCCTATGTTGCGTTGAGACATACAGGCCAGCATAATATCATTCAGATTCTCTCCATCTTCACACACACACACACACACACACACACACACACTTCTCTTCTGTGGATTGCAGCTCTAAGACCTAGGTTCTATGCTCAACTCCACTATTCATTCATTCCAAATGTATTTATTAACTTGTATATAGTAACAAGTAAACAAATAAATACATATTGTTCGGTAATACGTACGTGCTCCAAAGAAAAATAGAGTTGGGGATAAAAAGTGATGGGAGTGATACTATTTTAGTGTGGTCAGACCTGAGGAGTGAAGGAAAGGAGGGAGCAAACCATGAAGGTTTCTAAAGAGAGAGCCTCCAGGCTGACGGAACAGCGAGTGGAACGTTTTGAAGAAAGAAGCATGTGTGTTTTACACAGGAAGGGAAGGGAGCTCGTGTGTCTGGAGCAACATAAGCATATAACTGTAGGTATTACTCTGTTCATTCCATAAGCTTTCATTCCTCAACAGGCATTTATAGGTTAAATTTAATTTCCTGTGTTTTGACCCATAGTGGGCTTGGTCTGTGAAATTCTGATTTAATTTTCTAAATACAAGGGTCACTTGAGAAAGATCCAAGTTTTTGCTCAGACAAATTTATCAACTCTCCATCTACGTAATCCCCACTGCCATGGTTTTACAACCTTTTCCTGACATCTCTACCTATAAAGCCAAAGTCAGTGAGAGAGACAGAAATGTTCACTATATCTCAAGAGCTACTATCTCTAGAAACCTGTTCTCTTGTATGCATGGAGAACCCTGGAGCTCTAGTTCCTAAGCACTTATGTATTAGCATAGATGTGTTTATCAGATTAGTTAAGAGTCAATAACCTGGATACCTAGTGGGGCACTGAACAGCTTGGGAGTAGAACTATGAGTAAAACAGTGTTCCATAGGGGAAAGGAGAAGAGGTCGGATAGGTGTCTTCATGTGACCAGGACTCATCGTGGGATTCCCACCTAGTCAAATCCTGGCACCTCAAAAGAACAGCATGAGGAATAGCATGTGTGTCCACAGCAGGCTCCAAATGATGGAACCTCTTCAGTGGACAAAAAAATAAAAATAATGAGGGGAAAAATTCAAGCATAAATTTCCCTTCTCTCTAATTTCAAGACTGATAGAGCTTTTTTTTTAGCTTCATCCTAAGTAAATCCCATTTCCAATTTAACTTACATCAGTGAATCTTTCTTACTCACTACCAGCTGCCACTTCTGGGCCTCTTCTTTCTCCCTCCCTTCTTCTATGTGGCCCAGCGGCCTGCCTAAGTCATAGCCACACAGAGTCCCACTGCCCACCATCAGAACACCTTTAAACAAAAGAGCAGGCATCTTTAGTGCCTTACATTGTGCTTAGATCATAGTTTTTTATTTGGGGAAAAGAAAAGGAAGTCTCTCAGAGATAAAGTTGTCTGGAGAGGACCTTCTTGGTTTGAAATTGAAGACAACCAGAACAGAGAAAAAAGGTCTTAAGAATAGTTCTCTCCATGTCGGTTACTAACTTGAACAAACAAGCCAAAAAGGACAACAACAGCAAAAGAACAACTACAAAAACACGATCTAATCTTCATAGATACGGCAGAGAATCCATCCAAATATTCAAGGTAGACTGAGGAAGTACATTCTCTGCCACAGAGCTCATAACCACGCTTTTTAAGTCACATTAATTCAGAATTTGGGATAATCACTACATACACTTTTAGAACCAATAACAATGAGTTATTTAGTTGCCTTCTTCTTTGTGTTGCTACAAATAAAAAATTGTCTCAAAATTATGTTACTACTGGACGGCACTGAGTAAAAACAGTTGTTTTCACAAAACTGATGCATGTGTCTCAAGCCAAATTCTAAACATCCAGTCTTCTATCCACCTGAAATATGTAGTTAGAAATGGGACATAGAAAACCACATATTTTAATAATTCTATAGCCCTCTGTCCTTTTGATATTGATTTGCTCCAGAGTGCAGTCCCCTTTTTTTCACTCTACATACGTGTCTCTGGGCAATTTCGTCTATTTCCATAGCTGAAAGTACCATCTAAATGTTGATTAGTTGCAGACTTACTTCCAGCCCAGACTCATATGTCTAATTCCTACTAGGCATCTAGAAATATTCCACAGGAAAAAGACACAGGAGGAAAGAATGAACTAACATTTGTGGAACATCCACAAAGCTCCAACACCTCCGACTCAGCTCACTATCTTTCATCACCCCCAAAACTCTACCTCCTCTTACATATACTTCATGCTTTACATGGTTCCACCTTCCCCCAGCCACTGAAACTAGAAACTGAAGACACAACCTAGACTCCTCGCTCTCACAACCACACATTCAACTAGTTAGAAGGCCTTTTAGATTCTGCCTCAGAACTATTTTTTAATATGATCCTTTTTCTGTAGCCTCACATCCACTGCCATAGTTCAGGCCCTTTTTCAAATGGGTTTATGTAGCAACCTCAGCTCTCCTCCCTCCCTCTCATCTTGGCTTCATCAGGCAAAGTTATCAAAAATGCGAATATAATCATGTCCTTCCCTTGCTTAAAATCTTCTAACAACTATCAATTATCCTCACAAAAAGTCCAAACTCATTTCCTGCTGGTTCCTCTTACATGTTACACAGCACCCACACAGACCTGTACACATTTTCCCAAGTATGTAACAGACCACGGTGCTTTTGTGCGTGGCTTTTGGATGCCTCCAGAAAACTCTTCCTGTCTTCTTCTCTTCCTCTCATCTTTTCACGTCTTTCCTTCTCTGTGCCTCTACGGTCACACATTGATTTTTAGAGAAGGAGGAAGGGGGAGGGGGAGAGAGAGAGAGAGAAACATCAATGTAAGAGAAACATTGATTAGCTGCCTCCTGCATGCCCCCCACTGGGGATGGAGCCTGAAACCCATGCATGTGCCCTGACCGGGAATCGAACCAGCAGACTTTCTATGCACAGAGCAACACCCAACCAACTGAGCCACACTAGCCAGGGCTACGGTCATACTTTTTATGCTGTATTGTTTTCCTTGAGCTCTCCTTCTGACCTTTTAAATTGTGAATTCCTTGAAATCAGAAACTATATCTTTCACTTCTGTGTCCCCAGGACCTAGAACAATGCTTGGATTCTGATAGGCTTTTAGAAGAATTTGAACAAACAAGTAAATATGCCCAAAATTTCTTTACCCACCTGTGACAAGCTGTGACATAGGGAACCCCGACATCTTTGAGAGGTCAAAGGGTCACTGCTACTTGAGAGGGCGCATTCCTAATCAAAGTTCTGCCAGCCACTCACATGTGGGTAAGAAATGTTTCCCTTGTCTCTCATACAAGCACATCTTTAATTAAAAGACAGATCTAGCTAACCCCAATAGGTGAGTTTTACATAGAAGAAAAGGGGGCTCTTGTGACTAAAATAGCAAAAGGACACTAAAAAAGAAATAATGAAAACAGGAGGCGATTCTGTAGAAGTCAGAGGCAAAGCTTGAAGAAAGGTGAGGTGGGTGTTTTGTTCTCTAGACCACACTGCCTCCCTGTGGGAGGTTTTCCGGGGAAGGCTATGCCTAAAGAAAAGCAAATTCAACTTTACCCAGTTCTAAAGTGGTTGCAGCTAGATTCATCTATACCAGAAGTCCACTCCCAAATTCTAGGCTAGGAAGGGTGCCAGTGGGGGATTTGTTTCCTGAAAGGCTGATGCCTACTTTTACAGATTTGGAATAGTAACAATTTTGTTCATTTAAATATAAGTAGTCCTGGGAATGATTTTTGCAAATGTCAACAAGACCAAGAAATGAAATAACCACAGTCTAATTGTTTCGTTTTACTACTTTGAATAATTACACTTAGAAGTCTTAATCATTTAATTTACTTATGAGGAATATATGATTCTAAGATCAATGCCCCTAAAAATCAAAAATCACAAAGGAAGTTCTTCATTTCCTATATACCAGACGTTTTTTACTCCACTTCTTAAACATTTAATTACAATGAACAAAAAGTCAACACAGTCACTGAAATTAATGATTGCTCCCTGCCTATATAACGTCCTAAAAAACATCAGATGCACTTCTATAAATTAAAACGGTACACTCATTTTGGGAAACACCTCACAGATCAATTTTCAGTTACCTGGTAGAAAAAGTAATTCATGGAATGCTGCTTTCCAAAAGAAAAAAAATGTCACTTTTGAGGCACAAAATACATTTTTTACGATTTCAGTACTTGTTTCTTTAAACATGCCCCAAGTTTCTAACAGTTCACAGGCATCATTCAAGGACAGAAAATGGTCTTAGTCTTCTGTTTCCACAAAAGGCTTTGAGCAATTTCCAGAAATGAAGTAGTTGTTCATGACCTACCTTAATGCAAATATTTGAAGGCTCTGCTTTTGAATTTCCGGAATCTCTGAAGTATTCAAATTCATAACTTGTCCATTTCCTGACCAGTTCCCTTTGAAGTGGTCCTGGGAGCCATGCTATTATTTGAAATGTCTGGCTGTCTGTAAATAGTTGCTATTTCCTTGATGTCGGTGAGGCTGCTTCCTTTCTATGACCTTTACCTGTGGTAACTCTCACTGAGGCCACATACTCTCGTACATGTCTGTGTGCTCTGGTCCATACATACGGTCCTTATTAGATGCTTTTACTGCTTCATCTTAACGAGGAAGGACACATAACCACAGTCTCGACTCATAGCTGAATCTACATCTTTATTTTCTCCAAGGGTCAAGTTGTTTTATTGACTGCACGCACACAAATAAAAGCTTAAAGTAATGTTTTCTTTTTAATGGTGAGCAATGAAAGTACACATGCCATCCATATGAGAAGCACATGATTTTGGCATGTCTGCACTAGTACTATTGGAATAAATAACTCAGGAATTAATAAAGACAATAGTGCCCATAATGTTTTCTTATGAGCAATCAGAGGCATAAATTCGAGACAAGGCAAAAGAAATGGTTAGCCTGAGGGGAAGATAAGGGGTGAAAAGAGAGGCCAGCTATGGAAATCTGCCTGGCACTCCCTCAAAAAAGAGAGGCAGACACGTACTGCCAACTTAAGCCAAAAGAAAAAAATGGATTGCTGGGATGAGGGAAAACATGGAACAGGAGGTAAAGCAAAAATATTTTTCATTTTCTCTTCCTTATTGAACTAGGCTTAAAAGATACAGAGGAGAGACTACTCTTCTGACTCAGACAACCTGGACTTAATCTGACATTTGTCACTAAATAACTGTGTAACCTTGGCCAAGTCAGCTTCCCTGGAATTGAGTTTTCTTATAGAAAATGGTCTTAGTCCATTTGAAATCATATGATTTCAAATCATAATTAGATAATTTGAAATCATAATTAGGTAATTCCAAGGATGGATTGGGTTCTAAAAATCAAAAGTGCATTCAAGCCCCGGTTGGTGTGGCTCAGTTGGTTGGAGAGTAGTCCCATGCACCAAAAGGCAGCAGGTTCAATCCCTGGTCAGGGCACATACCTAGGTTGTGGATTCGATCCCTGGTCAGGGCAAGTATGGAAGGCAACCAATAGATGTTCTTTCTCAAGTCAATGTTTTCTCTCTCTCTCTCTTCCCCTCTTTCTAAAGTCAATAAGCATATCCATGGGTGAGGATTTTTTTTAAAGGCACATTCAAGGACATTTGGAGAAAACTGTTCAAAGATAATTCAAAGGGACTGGGTTGAGTAACATTTATAAGTCACTCCTCACTTTTTCTTTTATCAGATATTGAACACAGTCTTCACTTTAAAGGAAAGTCCACACAACCCTGAGATAATATGTACTTCTTTTCATTAGGCATGGATGAAGGGGATGGTAAGAAAAGAAACATAGAAACAAGAGAAATAGCCCAGGATAGAAATAATTTGTGGGAGAGGTAGGAGGAGGGGAGAGGGAGAGATCACCAGCTGGACAACAGAGAGAAGAGGAGGGAGACCCTGGAAGAGGGAACTTATAGGTATGAATTATCATGATATACGCTGGTAGCAATAAGCTGTTTGGTACTGATAAATCTGACATGTAAGGAGCTAGAGAGGAATGTGTTCTGTGCTAGGGAACATTGACTTTATAATGTCTCTAATAGGACTTACTGTAGGGTTTAAGCAGATTAGCAGAGGAGGTGAGAGCATGTCTCTAAAGCCAGACTGCCCAGGCCAAATCCTGGCTCAGTCACTTGCCATTTGGGTCAGTTAGAGAAAATATTTTACCATTCTGTGCCTCAGTTTCTTTATCTGTAGAGTAGGGATAATAATAGCACCCATCTCATAAGGTTGTTGTGAATATTTGTGTGAGTTGATGTACATAAAGTGCTTAGACCAGTGCCTGGCACAAAGAAATTACTTAACACATATTGGTTGTGACTATCAGATTTTCAACTTAGCAATATAATGCTATGAATATTTCCTACAGTCCTATGCATAATTAATGTGGGGAACTGAGATAAAAGTATGAGACAGGTGTTAGACTAAGTTTGAGAATTTTCTATACAGAATATTATATTTTTTCTCTCCCCAGATGATAAAGCAAAGTCACAATGACCTGTTGAGACTCAGAAGTAAATATGCTTGGGTTAATAATATACAGTGGATTAGAAATTATTTATACTGGTCAACATGACCTAGCCAGATAAATGTTTTTATATCATCCATCACTAAAGTTATTTCCCTGAGTCAGATTAATCACAAGATGAAAATAACTAGCCCCTAATTCCTCTGTGTGGATAAATAAGACACTGAAAATCAAGACACTCTCTTCTACTGTCTAGCTTCAGAATAGACCATCCAGTAAGAAGCTAGTCTCAGAATGCTAAGGTGGAGCTAAAGCTGGGCAGCAATTTATGAGAACTAGGCCCAGGTAAGAGAATAGGACTCCTGTGAAGGACGCACTGCCCACTTGCTGAGGTGATGGTCCAATATACAAACCCACCCCTCTTGCTTTCCCTGGCCAGTAAATAAGGGAACCTACACAATGAAACCATGAACTGGAGGAAGACTTTAAGCTCATCCCTGCTATAGACAGTTCTATGGGGGAAGAATGCATATACCCAAAAACACTTAACCTGGAATCACAAGTGAAAACATGGGAGTGCTAAAGGGAGATGATGACTAAAATAGGTTCAATGTTTTCCCATTCATGTTTTTTCTGAATCCAACAAATGAGATTTTTTTAAATATGTTTTTATTGATTTCAGAGAGAGGAAGGGAGAAGGAAAGAGAGAAACATCAATGATGAGAGAGTCATTGATGGGCTGCCTCCTACACAACCCCCACTGGGGATCGAGCCTGCAACCTGGGCATGTGCCCCGATAGGAATTGAACTGTGATCTCCTGGATCATAGGTTGACCTTCAACCTCTGAGCCATGCTGGCCAGGCAATAGGATTCATCTTTAAATGCCTGGAGTAATGAGAGCACTAAACTTGGTCAAATCATGCTTGTGGGTTACGGAGAATTGAAATCGGGCTCTCTCTCTCAATTACTCAAGTTACCCAGGAACAACTCCAATAATATTAAGACTCACAAAAGTACAGAAGCTCTGTTGAAGGCAGGAAAACCAGTTAATAAATTATCTCAACAGTTCAGGCAATAGATATTAAGGGGTTGAATAATGGAAATGGAAAAGGCAGATTTAAGAAGAGGGGCAAGTGATGCATGAGAAGCAGTGTGGATTCTGGAGTCAGATTCCAAATTTCAACTCTGTCACATGCCTGCTGCATGAGCTTGGACAAGTTATTTTATTTTTCTGTTCCTTAGTGTCCTCATCTGGAAAATAGGTAGTATAGAAAAGAGCAGAGCAGGAACTGGGGCAGTGCAAGTGAAGTGCGCCCTTGCATAACCCTGAGAGTGGTGCTTCCTTAAAGTTTGCTCCCCAGGTGCCTCACTTAACTCAGCCTAATCCCAACCCTGATAAATAGTACCTAATTTGTGAGATAATCATAGAGATTAAATAAATTAACATATGCAATGTGTTTAATAGCCATGTCTATATGTTCAAGAGCACATAGGAAGTGCTAGCTATTATTTGACATTATTAGATTTGAGTGATTGAGAAGAAATACAATTCTAGGTAGACTCCGTGTTTCTGGCTTAGGCGAGGGAATGAATGTTGCTATCAGCCACCAAGATAGAAACACAGGAGAAGAGCTGGCTCAGGCAAGGGAGTGAAACTGACAATTGGATGTGACCACTTATGGGACATTTGGATGCAGATACCCAGTAGCAGCTAAATAACTGCCTCTAGGAACTGTACTGGTGCCTAAAGGGGACGATTAGAGATATAATCTCAAAGGGAGTAAAAGATGCCTTGGTGGCAACCAAACTAGGAAACCAAACTAGGTAGCTAATTTTGTTCCTCAGAAAGAGGTCCCTTACAACTTCTTACCAAAATACTCAGACATAGAAAGAGACAGAACCTCTCAGTGCCTTAAATTGGGCTAAATAATCAACCTGATCTTAGAATCTGGGAGGCCTATGTACTTAATACCAAGCTGAACCCACAGAACAGACCAGCAGTGCTAGACCTCCCTCTGCTGCTTGTCCTTTATCCCTTTACCCCACTATACAGAAAATCAGAAATCAGAAAACTGGATGGACCTTGAAAACATTGTGCTCAGTGAAATAAGTTAGTCAGAAAAAGCTAAGAACCATATGATTTCACTCATATGTGGGATATAAGACTGAAACTTGTGGACACAAACAGCAGTGTGGTGGTTGCCAGAGGGAAGGGTGTTGGGGGTGAAGGGGGTCCTAATATATGGTGAAGGGAGAAGATATGACTTTGGGTGGTGGGCACACAGTGCAATATACAGATCTTACAGCATAGAAACTCCACCTGAAACCTATATGTTCATATTAACCATTGTCACCCCAATAAATTTAATTTTTAAAAAAGAAAGAAAATTGGAAAGCCAACTCTGACTGTTGCATTTTTTAAAGACAACCAAACTACTGGCCTTTTATCACCTCTATCAGTTCTTCACTTTTCTAAAGTGTAATGAAGAAAGTAACTTTTAGAAATCTACTGAAAGGGAAAGGAGGGGGGGAGAGAAGGAGGGAGGGAGGCAGGGAGAGAGAGAATGGTGCATTGCTTTCTAAGAGTCAAGAAAGGTCTTAGTTGCAGTGTATGTACGGAATTGTTGGCTTGTTTCCTGCATGCCCTACTTACTGTAAGAGTACCTGAGCCTAGAAAGTAAATGAGTCCACCTGAGCAAAACCAACTGGAGTCACCTGAAGGCTTTCAAGCCCTGGGAAACAGCTAGCTGTGCACACTAGCTTGCTTTCAGCACATTGGTGGAGATGCCTCTAGAACCACTGGGCAGACAATAGGGCCAAGGGCAACTTGCACACCTTGTTTTGTAAAACATTCAATATGGATAAATTTGTCTTTTGAGAGAGCAGAAAAACATATAGAGCCTTATAAGAAATTAAACTTTTTAACGAAGCTTCAGAGGAACTATATTACAAGAGGCTGCAAACATTTTAGATAGTTTGGTATCCTTAGCAGAATATAGGGAGATATTGTCTCTAACAGAGAGGAGGAGAAAGTAAGGAACTGA